GCTATTAAAGTTTTTTATGCATAGACTATATTGCTCTTCTTTTATTTTAATGTTACCTTTGCCAGGTAATGGACTTCACTGTATTTGATATTTCCCATTTTCCATTGCAGGGTGTATACCAGGAAGCCTTTATGGGCTCGTGCCTGGAGAATGAGAGTCGAATAGGGGCTTGCAATGGCCTCACATATGCTCCACTGGCCCAGACATCATGTGGAAGTCTGGTCAACCTCTTCTTGTTGCCAGACTTGCGCTCTCAGCCCCAGAGTAAGCAATAGTTGTCATTAGTTGTGTATATATAATAGAAAAAAACATTCACAGTATGTCACAAATAGATTTCCTGTCATTGATTTTTTCCTCTCTTCTCCTTGAAGCCAGCATTGGTATAATTCAACTTTGCACCTTTGATGTCGTGAACTTTGTTCATTTGTTTTTCTTCTTCCCCCCCCTCCACTCCCCCCAATCCTTCTATTACAGAAAGAGGGAAAGCAAGTGTACCACAGTTTATCTCTCCCTCTCTTCCTCCTTCTTTAAATGTAGGTTTGGGAAGTAATCGAAGAAAATTTGCTTTACTTGACACAATTAATCATTTCAGGTCATGTGAGGTTCTCTGAAGCCCTGCGTGAGATGCGACGGCAGGTGTTGAGTTTGCGCCGTCTGCCCCTTACCCACCTCACACTTACAGAGAAATCCTGGTTTGTATATTTGATGGTTTAGTTTCCTGTGAACTCTTTACTTATTTCTCTATTGTTTTTTTATCTTTAATGCAAAAAGGTTTCCTTCAGAGTACTGAAGGGAAGTATGTCATATTGAAGTAAGATCATTTATGGCCATCGATTCTATTACTAGATCAATAGAATAGATAGCAAGGAACCCACCAGGGATAGGCTATTAATAAACCTTATGGTCTAGTAACCAATGTTGCTATCTATTTGTCACTTTACCTGCCCCAGTGTGTGATTCTTGGTTGCATATCCTGCAGGTACCAGTATGTGTGCCGCACATGGGAGAGTGTGCGGAAGTGGAGCCTCTTCGTGGAGTACAGCCGCCTGCTGCCTTGAGCGGTGCCGGTGCTTGTATCTGGACATCTCCTGCCTGGCATCATCACCCTAGCTCTGTGGGTGTTGTGCCGCCCGTGACAGACGCCTGTCGCCACTCACTGCCCTGCTCTGCTCCCCACATGGGACTGTCGCAGCCGGTCGGCTTGGCCCCGCCCCTGCCCCTCCCTCACCCCCCATGCCTCACAGCCTGCTGTGTGGAAGGGTCATCAACCTGAGGGGGTCAGTGTGCATGTGGGCACCGTGCCCAGCTGTGGGAGTGGCACTGCGTCGTATGTTGTTTGGAGCTGCATCCCATAGGCCGTGTCTATGGGGGCAGCAGTAATCTGGCCCAACTGCTGTGTTGGGCCAACCAAGGTCGCAAGATGTTTTTGTATCGAAGTTACCCATTACTCTCTTGAGCCGATGTGTGGCCCAGAGCTCTCAGCTGCACGCAGCAATGCAAGAAAACTTTTCCTACTCTGATGGTTCAGATGGAGAACGTACTTGCAACATTGCATGTGCAAAGAGAGAGCAAAGTACTGGGGGCACACAGCTGCTGAAGAAGGTGATGGGTAAGCGACTACAAGAACAACACCAAAGCTACATCCCTGACCCTCCCGACATGGGTCCTGGCTGTCTGTTCGTCACATTATTCATCATTAACAAAGGTGTGGTGAACACAGCAATTCAGGAAATTCACTAATATGGCAATGATTTTGCAAAACACTGAGAGAGTAAATTAAATTATTACTGGTAGTTTTCATTTCGTGCAATAGCATTAATCAACAGGTAAAGTTTCCCTTATCGAGATTTTTACCTGAATTCTCAATCGTTACTTGACTTTTGGAAGTCTTGCTTTCTTCACACCTATCATATTCAACAGTATTAAAAAAAAAGAAAAAAGAAAAAAAAAAGAGAGAGAAAGAGAGAGACAGACAGACAGACAGACAGAAAAATCTAAGTATTAAGACTCCAGATGCTTTCAAATAATGATTGATAATTCAGTTACTTGTTTATGCTACTTCACACAACATGCAAAGATTTTGTGATCCAAGATGCTCAGAGTTGTCTCATACACAAAATCAAGCCAACTGCCGTCTGCTCTTCTATAGCCCTCACATCGGCAATATACATCTGTGTCTTACCTTTATAATGTCTACTTGGTGATATTTTCATGTCCATCACCTTCCCTTCAGTCTTAAAAACACCTTAAAAGTCTGCCGGCAGTATCTGCTTGATGCTTGACTTTGGTTGTCAGTGTTAGAACTTAATGCCAAATTAATCAACACCACTAAACACAGACACTTTTACTCACTCACGCAAGACTTCTGTATCATTTATAATTGATGCTGGTTCTAGTGATATGTTTGTCATGTGACATTTCTGTAGAAGGGTTTAAACCTTCACTCACAGATAATAGTTTGTGTTTATTTCAAGAGTTTAAACATGGTGATGATTATCAA